TCATCCAGTCATTTATCCACTCAACACATGAGACTTTGAACACAGCAAAGGTAACTGTTTTCTTAAGTAGTTTGCAATCTGATAATGACATAAGCATTAAATACATAGTTTAATAGTGCACCAGTGTTACAGAAAAGCATTAAAGCATTACAGAGTGTTGTGATTATGTCCAGATGAAAGAATAATACCTGTGAAACCAGGCAAGGTTTCCTAAAATGTCAGAGGTGATATTTTAGCTGATAACTAAAGAATGCAGACAGGTTTGCCTGGTAAAATGAAGGTGAGGGGAAATTCCAGGAAACAGAAAAATTGTAGGGGTTGGTGAGGAAAGAAGAGCATAGAGAGGAATGACAAGCCCCAAGAGCAATAAGATATGAGCAGAGACTAGGGAAATAAATAGATTTTTCTTAGAGGTAGAGAGAAAGAGATAGACTTGCTATGTAATATGTGCATAGGATTTTTTTTCTTGAGAACAGTAGGCAAGAGCCTTAGAGAGGACTTTAAATACAAAAGGGATATATAAATGTGTCACAGCACCTAGGAATAGCCTGCTGACTAAGTTTTTCTATAATATGCCTAGAATTCAACTATTTCTCACTGCATCCACCACTACTACCAGGACAAGTCTCCATCACTCTCTGCCCCTTGCTGAGCTTTCCTTTTCCCACCCTGACTTCTATGAGTTTTCCCTTGTAGCTGCTCCCCTGGTGAGCTTCCTCATTGGGAATCTGATTCATACATTGCTGTGCTCAAACCCCTTTCACTGCTAGGTAAGCCGAAGCCTGCACCTGGCCTTCAGGGTCTGCAATCCCTGACCCTTCACTGTCCCTTGGCCTCCTCTCTCAGTTAATCATCTCACTCTCACCTCTCTGGCCTCTGCCTCCTTACTGATGTCCACACAGAAGCATGTGCTATCTGGAAGACCAGGTGCTTGCCACTCCCTTTTGCTGCATTTTTTTTCTCAGTTCTCATTCCTGCAGACTTCCTTCGATTCTGATCAAATGTTGCTCTGCTAGAATCTCTTTAAACTTTTTCTATGCAAACAGCTCACAAAACCCTATCTCCCTTTTTTCTTCTCCTCTTAATGTTTTTATGCCCTTATTGTTTGTCCCCTCATTCCCACACTAAAAGACCAAAAATAAATCTGAGAAAAATGAAAGCTATTCAACTTGAGTGGATAATAGTATCATTGTCTGTTTTGTTCATTGCTGCATTCAAGGTTCTTAGAACCCAGCCCAGCAAAGTAAGCCCTAAATAAATATGTATTGGATGGATGCGTGGATGGGTGGTTGGACGGATGAATGTAGATGGATGAATGGATTTAGATGGATGAATGGATGTGACTGAACAGATGATTGGATTGGTGGATGGATGGACAGTTGGGTAGATAGAAGATGTGTTCTCTTTCTTAGAGTGAATGGTTAATTATGAAGATACTTTTCCATTTTTTGTTGTTGTTGTTGTTTTGTTCTTTTTTTTTTTTGAGTTGGAGTCTCACTCTGTCGCCCAGACTGGAGTGCAGTGGCCGCTCCCGGCCACCGCAGCCTCGACCTGCTGGGCGCAGGCGATCCCTCCGCTTCAGACTTCCAAGTAGCTGGAACTACAGGCGCACGCTACCATTCCCGGCTAATTTTTTATTTTATTGTAGAGATGAGGTCTCACCAAGTTGCCCAGGCGGGTCTCGAACCCGTGGGCTCAGGCAATCCACTCACCTCAGCCTCCCAAAGTGCTGGGATTACAGGCTGAGCCACCGAGCCCGGCTGACTTTTCCATTTTAATGGAACCCCAAGGTACACATATGGTACAAAACAGAACAAGGAAAATATTTTAGCACATTTTCACCATTTTAGACCCCCCAAAAATGTAATTCTACTGAGAAGCACATTACTGAAACTCAGTGTGTCAGGGAATAATTTACTGACTTATCTTGCCCTTCTTGGGAAGCAGAGTAAATTCTACTCAAATTTTTGATAGTTCAACTGCAAGTCAGGATGAGGAAGTATGAATTTTGGAAGCCAAATTAGATGTTCAAAGAAGCACATATTAGCCTACATTCTAATTTAAAAACTATATCTATGCTGTGGTTATTCCTTTGTAAAAATTAAATGTGCATATAGACCAGAAATAGGAAAGAAAATGGAAAATAGTTTTTTAAAAATGCTCATTTCTTGGATGAACAAAATTGTTCATCTTTTTTTCCTCTTTAATTTGTATACCATTATTATTGTTACAATATTGTTTGGATAGTAAAAGTAAATTACTTGTATGCTGAAAAATGAAATTTGGCAAGCAGAAATAGAATTTAGTAAAGAATGTCTTCATTTTTGTGAATAAAATTATCCTGCTTTTTAAATGGACGAATGCTGCCTGAAAGGTAATGTGATACATCTGTACTTAAGAAATGGTGTATGTAATTCAGAATCACTTCATTTAAGTGGGATATGCTATCAATGCCTATTTGGTTGTACATTCTTTCATTTAGTAATGTATACCAAATTGGTTTTCTGTGCAAATTATTTTCTTTGTCCAGGCATGAAGAAAGTAGTCTTTGCCCCTTTCAGGAAATACCCTGACTGTCTAAAGGTGGATATCTCTAGTGCCAACTTCTACAGTTTTGCATATTTTTTTCTCCATCCTACATGTGCCCAAATCTTGTATCTTGTGCTGTGCATTTTTAAGGTCGTCTATTTCCACCTTACTTCCTGAAAGACTAACCCTCTGGAATCCCCATTAGATGTTCATTCGTCCTTCCTGCTTACTTCCTGGTGAAGCAGCCCATTCTATTACTAGGCAATATTGATGGTTACACATTCCGAAGTGTTACTAATACCCAATTCTATCTTTGTGAAACTTCCTTTGAGTTCTAACTCTGCTTTCTGTAGCTATACAGAATAAGTTTTCTCCCTGTTCTATGTGATATGGTTTCAACTGGATGAAGACTTTAAGTATTTGGTATCTGAAGCAGAACATTTTTTTCAAACTTACTTCATATAGCATGTTTTGCAAACATCTTTGTCTTCTTTATAGAACATCTTTCTAAAAATACTTTCTATATAACTGTCTATGACAATATTCATCCTAGACCAAGATATCATACCGTAGGTGTGTTTGGGTCAGGGAAGGGTCTATCACTGCAACTTTTGTTCAAGATACTCCTGCAAGTAAATCATTAGTTACTCTGTTGACAGTTTTGTCATGATACAAAGCTGAAGTCCTAGTGTTTTTAAAATTTTGTTTATGGCTTTGACCAATGCAATCAATGCATTATATCATAGGTACGTTTAAAACAGAATTTAGAAGTCTAGTTATTCTTATTAAAAATAATACTCAAAAAGATACCAACTGTTTGAACTCATGAAGATAACATTAATATCATTATCCTGGTCTATAATAAAATTTGGCCTTGAAATATTAAAACCTTCTGTTTGCTATAGTTTCCCTGAAATTTAATCTTGACAGTGTTTGAGAAATGTCATCTGAGGTCTGTGATAGATTGTATATATTAGGTTGGTTGTATGAATAGTACCTCTTAAAGATATAAGCTATTCACTATTCACAAATTTGATGAGAAAAACTTATTTTCTTTTTTAAATTTGGGTGAAATGAAAAGCTCTTGAATCAACAAGATCTAATCACTTGTCCTTGGGATTGGTCAGTGATTCTCTCACAAAAAAAACTTATCTAATAGAAAATAAGATGGATCAGAGTAACTTTTTGTAGTTATTTAATGCTTATGGTTAGTCTTATTTTTGTAAGTTTTAAAAAGCTACTTTCTAATAGATGAATTAAGTTATAAATGGCAAATATAAAGACTGATAGAAATTTCTGAACAACCATAGAACTCTTTTCTGCTAAGACTATAATGGCTTTCTGAATTTTTTTTCAATATGATAACCAGTACAACCAATATTAAATAGTATTGAGTATTGTCTTTATTGTGGTTTGCAGCAATTTTATACATTAAATCCTGAATGAAAATGAATTTATAAACTGCAATGGCTACTTTTTTATGAATATCTGCATTCTACTTTATTCTGGCTTGTATAATATGAGTTGCAATTATGGACACTATAAGAGAGTATTCTCAGGTCTATACATAGGCAGAAATAATCTATTTGTAGTGTGACCATATGTTCTTATTTGTTCCTTTATACTTTATAATAATAATTAATGTGTAACTATTATATCTATTATCTATCATTAATTTTTCCCCTTTGTCTCTCAGAGGACTACAAATTACAGGATTGCCCTAATTTGAAGAGACCTGAAAGTTTGGTCTCAGCAGCCAATATGACTGATTCATTTGCTTGATTTATACAATCTTTAGCATCTTTTAGCAGTGATTCCCCCTCTCACCCTTACCCCTTGCTGCAATAAAAATGAGATTCCTTGCAAGGGACTAAATTATAGAATAGGGATAGTGAGTCAACTAGTGAAGAAAGACCAGGAAAATCTTGAAACCTTGAATGAGGAGCTATAGAATAAAAGAAAAGCCTCAAGGTGGTAAGGGATGATCAGAAGTTGATGAACTGGCAAATCGGTAGTTTGTGCTAAATAAATATTTAAATTTAGTAGTCTGAAATCGAAGCTAACAGTATAGATAAAAAGGGAAAGATGAAAGAGGACTTGGGGCTAAAAAGCCTCATCCTGCTTGGGTTCAATGCAGTGAGGGTAAATAGGTCGGTTGTAATGAAAAGAAAGCTCCCAAATCACCATATATTGTAGAGAAGGAGCATCAGGTTTAAACAAAAACTGAAAGTAAAATGCAGTATCAGATTTTTTCTTTATATAAAGCTGTTTCCATAAAGAGACAGCCTGAGGCTTTTATGCACTAAGAGCAAAAGTGTACAGCAAGGAGCTAATAGTAACTTCAAAAATGGGAAAATTCCTCTTTCACAGTTTTTTGACTTCTTTCTTGATTTAAATAATATATATTTATTTGACTTGTTTTATTTCATTCACTGAGTTTCTTTTTTCGTTGTTGTTGCTGCTGTTTTTAGGAGCTGGTGGGGAGTAATCCTCCACAAAGAAATTGGAAAGGAATAGCGATCGCCCTGCTTGTTATTCTGGTCATCTGCTCATTGATTGTCACCTCGGTCATACTTCTGACACCAGGTACTTATAATTATTCTTGGTAAGGAAAGTCACTGTAAGAAATAAAGAGCATAATTTTACCTGGCAATTTTTAAAAGTAACTATCTATTGCATAATTTATTTTGTCATATTCTGATTCTCATTGTGCTATGTGATAGAATGATATAGTATGGTTGCAGGGGAAAAAAGTCATTTTGTATGCTTTGAATTTGTTTACATAGTTGTTGACTAGGTATAAATGCTTGGTATATATTAAAATTTAAAATTACTCATTTATGCTTGGTGAATTTATAGACAATGGCATAAAATAATAATTATATATGTTTCATGGAATTCCTGGGTATTATATCAAGGATGAATTAAGAAAATTATTAAAAGAACATATATTGAATGTGAACTAAGGATAAGATGCTTATTAGGTACTAGTGATGAATTTAAGTATAAACTGGAGTCAGAAATCTATCAAGAAAGAAAAGACACTAAAATCTGCAGCAAAATCCTACAGGAAACAGAGACACTTACATGTCCCATTGAGTAGATCAAGCAGAAGTGCTACAGGAGTTTAGAAAAGAGAGAGATCGATCTTTTATGAGAAAATGTATGGAGTAGGTAGTATGTGAAGTGGGATTATTAGAATGATAAGGATTTAGTAGCCAGAGAGTGCTGGGACTTGGAAGAGAAGAAAGCCTTTGTCTGTAGGATAACTATATGGAGTATTCATAGGAAAACACTGTGGCCATAGATACAACAGTATGTAACTGCTGCATCCATTCTCATTATCATATTAGATATCTATCTGTGTGTGCAAAAAGCAAAAGTTTCAATCCTCAGTACATAGACTATACAGGTATAAGACCCTAAGATAGAAAAAGAAGTAGATATTGCAATGTAAAAATACTGATAAGTACAAAAATGCAGACAAATTATGATGCATACTTAAACTATTGCCTCAAATCTTGACTTAAAAGAGTAATCTCTGACCGGGCTCGGTGGCTAAGCCTGTAATCCCACGCTTTGGGAGGCCGAGGTGAGTGGATTGCCTGAGCCCAAGAGACCCGCCCGGGCAACTTGGCGAGACCTCATCTCTACAATAAATCAAAAAATTAGCCAGGCGTGATAGCGTGCGCCTGTAGTTCCAGCTACTTGGAAGGCTGAGCGGAAGCATCACTGGAGCCCAGCAGGTCGAGGCTGTAGTGGCCGGGAATGGCCACTGCACTTCCGTCTGGGCAACAGAGTGAGACTTCAACTCAAAAAAAAAAAAAAGTAATCTGTGCCCTGATGCCAACTAAAGAAATCACAAGAAACACTATAGACCAATACGCCTTATAAAGGTAGATATAAAATTCCTCAAATTTGCTATGTTTGCTACAAAATATTAGCAAACTGAATCTAGCAACATATAAGAAGATTGCACACCATGACCAAATGGGATTTATCCCAAGGAAGAAAAGTTGGCTTAACATATGGAAATAAATCACTGTAGCATACCTATATTAATAGAATACAGGGAAAAAAGTACATGATCGTCTCAACAGGCACAGAACAAGCATGTGACAAAATCCCCACGCCCTTTCATGATAAAAGATTCAACAAGCTAAGAATAGAAAGAAACATCTTCAACCTGTTAAAGAGCATCCCTAGAAAACCCCAAATCATATTAATGACAAAAGACTGAACTAATTCCCTCACAGATCAGGGGTTGTTAGACAAAGGATATTCACTCTCACTATTTCTATTTAACATTATATTGGAGGTTCTAGACAAGACTATTAGGTAAAAAAATTAAAAATAAAAATGGAAGTAAAGACATCCAGACAGAAAAGAAAGAAGTAAAACTAGTTTTTTTCATAAAAGATATTAACCTGAATGTAGAAAATATCAAGGAATCCACATAAAACCTGTTATAAATACTAAATGAGTTTAGCAAGATGGAAGATGTAAGTCCAATGTACAGAAACCATTTTTATTTCTATCCACTAGCAATGAACAACCCAAATACAACATTAAGAAAATAATTCTGATAGGTCTGGAAGGTGGCAGCTTAACCAGTAGGATTATGCAAGTCCCTGTGTGAGTGAGTGTATGGAAAATTTTGTGTACATGCTGGTGAGCAAGTGGGCGTGTGAGTAGCTGACAGTGAGCGCTAGAGAGCTAGCAGCCAGGGTTGTACTGGTGCAGCGGCTGGCTGGTGCCACAGCTGCTGGACTTGGACCCTGGCAACTCCCAGGACACAGAAGCCAAGGGCCATTTTCTTTTTCTTTCTTTCTTTTTTTTTAATCAACAAACCCTCTCTGGGAAGAAAATGCTGGGAGAGATGGTCTCAGTGGGGCCTCACGCGCAAGAGGCTGGGCCCCTGGTGCCACAGCTGGTGCTGCAGCTGCTCTGCTTCGTCCCTGGCTCTTCCCAGGTCGCAGACGCCAACTGCCATTGTTTTTTTTAAAAAACGGACAGAAGTTTTTCTGCAAAAAAGTGACGGGAGAAACCATCGCCCCAGGCTCTCCCTCACCATTGCAGCAGGAGAGACTGCCGGCTCCAGGCTTTGCCTCACCACCTCAGCACCTGGCAGGGCACTGGCAGCAGGGGCTGTGGAGGGAGTCCAGAGGTGAAGTCCCACGAAAGAGGACAAGGGAGGCACCCCACCACCATCTTGAAGGTGGCACAGGGAAATGCACCCCCTTGCTCACCACCGAGCAACAGACCCAATCTCTGTGACTGGCGGATCAACTGCTCAGGGACTGATCGTGACCCAGAGGGAATATCCTGAAAGCACGAACTTCGGAGGGACCTTTCGGAGGGACCTTTCGGAGGGACCTTTCGGAGGGACCTGACGAGTGCTGAGTTCCAGGCACCCCACCCCCTACCCTGATCCAGCCATGGGACAAAGGGTGTGGCCAGAAAAGGGCGAGGAAGAACTCCAAAGAGATCAGTGGTGAGTCTGGGGCTGACCCAAACCCCCTCCTCCCCGGCAATCCTCTGAAGGTCAGACCCACATAGCTGGGCCCCGAGAGGGACAAATCCAGGAGGAGCCTGGACGTCAGTCGCTGTAGGAGAACTCCATTCCGGGACAGGCCTGGCTGGGACAACCCCTTCGAGTACATACCTGGGGAAGAGACAATCCTGTACCTCCCCACCAGAGGAGATCTCCCTGACCCTATGAGAGAGGGAGGAGAGCACTGCAGCCCCACCCACCTCTACTGCCCCTCCTCCTTCCCTGCTTCAGTCACTGAGGAGAGAGGGAAAGAGGCGGCTCTGCAGGAGAGACCTGATTAGAGGAACAATTACAAAGCCTGCCACAAGAGGGCAGGTTTTTTTTTTAATTTTTCAGTTTTAAAAAAATTTTGTGACTGTTTGTTAGCTCATTTACTTTTTTAAATATTTTTCCTTTGTGCATGAATGTGTATGTGAGGGTTTTGTTTGCATTCCTCCCCCCAATTTTTTTCTTTCCTTTTTCTGTTTCTTTCTTCTTTTGTCATTTTCTGTTTATGTGTGTATGTGAATGATTGAGTGTTCATCTTTCAATTTTGTTGTTATTGTTGGTTTGTTTTTGCTATTGTGTTCTTCTGGGTTTTTTATTTTCCTTTTTTATAGTTTAAGGTGTGTGTCAATATATATGTGAGGGTTTGAAGTGAATTCCTTTTTTTTTTTTTTTAATCCCCCTCTGGTCTTTCTGTTTTTCTTCTCTGTTCACTTTGTGCTAGGCATGTGTGTGTGTGTTTAGTTTTATTAGTTTTTTGTTGTTGTTTGTTTGCTTTATTTCACTTTTTTGTTATTCCAGTTTGTTTTGGGGGTGTGTGTGTATGTCTGTGTGTTATTTTGGTTTCTGCTTTGCATTGTCATATAGAGTGGTGGTCGGGAGTGGGTCTCAGAGAACATATACCACAGTAAGGGAACATTGTAATTTGCAAGTAGTTTCTGAATCCTAGTGCCCCACCCCTACTTTATTTGAATTCAAAAACTATAAGAGACAGCAAAGCTTCCCATTCACCATCCTATTTCAAAATAGAACAAATCCAGAGCCCAGGTCAGGGAAGAATAGAGAACTGAGCAAACATCAGAAGGGAAAACCTTTCCCACTGACACTGAATAACAGAACTGAAGAGAAAAACAAGAGATCTGTCACAAATGAGGAAAAACCAAAGAAAGACCTCAGGCAATTTCAAGTGTACCAAAGACAAAACTCCTGAAAAATCAGACCTTGGTGCCCAAACAATGGAACAGTGACCAGCCCCAGAATATGACAGGGTTTAGGGAATGGATGGAAAGAGTGAATAAGACTCAAGAAAGACGAGATGCAACACTGAAAGAACTTGTAACAGAGATTTTGACAATAAAAAAATTCATCCAGGAAATAAATAACAAGATGACAAGTGTGGGAGGCAGAATTAATCCAGCTGAAGAAGGAATTTCAGAACTTGAAGACCAGAACATGGAATTAGCCTGATCTGTAAAAATATAGAAAGAAAACTCAGAAAAAAAGAAGAAAGCCTACAAGATATGTACAATTATATCAAGAGGCCAAACCTATACCTGATTGGTATTCCAGAAGAAGAAAGGGAAATGGAGAACAACTTGGAGCAAGTATTCCAGGCCAAGTACAAGAGATACAGAGAACCCCCACAAGACATCAAATGAAAAGACCAACCCCTAGACAGACAGTAATTTACCTACACAAAGTAGGCACAAAAGAAAAAAATCCTAGAGGCAATCAGAGAGAAAAATCAGACTACTTACCAGGGAAAACCAGTCAGAATAGTAGTAGACAAATCAGCAGAAACACTACAAGCAAGAAGAGACTGGAACCCTATATTCAAAGTTCTCAAAGATAAACATACTCAACCGAGAATTTCCTATTCAGTCAAGCTCAATTTCATCAGTAATGGAGAATTAAAATCCTTCCCAGACATCCAATCCCTAAGAGATTGGGCAGCTTCCAGACCAGCTCTACAGGAGACACTTAAAAAGGTATTAAGGATAGAAGAAAGAAAAAAAAGAATGACCACACACTTCCCAAGAAAGCAGCT